CTTTTTAAGAAATCTGGTAAAAGCTTTCCCTCTTTTTCCTTTTTAACAAAGATTTCCATCTTGGAGTACTTGTACACGAGTTAGTTGCAGTGAGGTAAAATGGGATATTGGGTTGCCTCATCAGGCACTTGTGGCAACTGCCTGCTTTACACTGTGGTAGATGTAAAAACTAAACTGTGATAGCTCAGCTCTCAACAAAAGAGCTGTTGTGGGCTGAACTTCCATGGTTCAGCTTTCACATATTGCAGGATAGGAGTATGTATACAGGTACTTATAATGCAGCAACTGATGGCTAGTAAGGCCCTCCTGCCTCCATTTATTTCCTAGCAACCAGCCCCCTGCCCTTACAGCAATTAATTTTACAAACTATAGACGAAATCCTGGCCCTAATAAAGTTAGAGGCAGTTTTGGAATGGGATTCCAGGATGCCAGGATTTTAGCTGGTATCTTTAGCACTTGTTGATTATTAATTCCCGTCTATATTTTCAAGTACTAAAGTTAGTACCTGCATATTTTTTCTAGACTGCACTGTGACAAACAGGACAACAAGGAAGGATAAGGAAAAGCAGGCTCTTTTCTAATTGCAACTATCACTTAACTTTTTGCTTCTCTGCAAGTAGTTGACACCATGTTCCAAAATTCATCAGTTAATGCAATCCCTCTAATAATAGTAGGGCTGTGGAAGTATCATAGTCAAGCTAGGATACCCTGTTGTTTTTGGTTGGCCACACAATGGCATATTATTCTCAGTAGTCTAAGGCTGAAATGTACAATGAAATTTGTAACAAAAACTCTAAATGAAAGGGAAAAAAATACTCGAGCAAGAAACTTGAGATGCCATAAAATTTGCCCCTATAGCAAGAAATATTTTTTCTACAATTTCTGTTTATAGATTCTTTATTTCTGACAATTTTCAGCACCAGAAGGGAGGAGACACTAAGTCTGTATGCAACACTGACATCATTCAGATTAAATGGCTTTCCTGAAAATGGGGTATGGGCAGTATGAACCACATTTGTACCTGCTCCATGCTGTCAGTACAGATTCCCAAACTTCAAAACTGGCATGGAAAAAATGAATCGAGGAAACCCAACAGAGAAGAGGTACACCTTATGAGTCCATTAAATTATATATATGGATAAGCTGCAATAAAGTGCTACAAAGTTCTCTTAGTAGTTAAAAAGCTGGTAGTATTCCTCCTGTTTACTTAACACTGGTAACAACATGAGTCATTGCAATCGCATTGTATGAGCTGGAGTTTATAATGTCTTCGTACTGTGGGGGTGGATCTAAGTGATGCTCAGTTTCACTTCTTCTTATGCTGGTTTCCCCAGTGGCTTCCTCATATGAAGGGGGAGGGTCACCATTTGACAGTCTTGTTGATATTGAGTCTGACCATCCATCTGCATAGCTCAGAAATCCCGGTGACAGACCACTGCCTTCATACATTTCTTCCTGTGGGGAATGAACAATGCTGAGAGGCTGGGGGAGAGGACTTCTACCAGCAGCCACAGCACTATCACCAATGGCTTCATGTGCTTCCCTATGCAAGTATGCAGACTGTCTACGAATTTTCTTTTTAAACAGGCATCTCCACACGACAAAAGCGACAATGAGGATAACAAAAAGGCCAATGATTAATGGAAATGCAAGGTAAAATGAATACCAGTTATGTCCAGTGTTACTTTCTCCCTGAACTCCATTTGTGTAGTCTTTCCAGAATTCCCTCTAGAAAAGCAAGATAAAATGAATCAGAAACTGCTTTAAAAGAATTTAAAGTAATGAAGTAATAATTTAAAGTAATTATTTTCATAGGTATATATTAAAAGAAAAAAAAATGTTCTTGAATCTTTTATCTTTCAATAAATGATGACTGAGGTCTTGAGCAAGAGATCTCCTGACTGTCTTAAGAAGTAGTTACTGAATCATATAATTTAAATGGAAAAAAAAAAAAGAGAATAACCCACCGTTGCCTGAAAAAAAATCTGTATCAGCACTTAATTGCAAAACTGGAGTATAAGTGAGAAGAATAATCTGAATGGGTATATGGTACCAACATTTTTCAGCACTGCTTAAGGTCAATGATTTATTTTTGGAATTTGTGAATTATCCATGCTGTGCTGCCATCCTCAATTCAGACTTATGCACTCTAGTTCATAAAGCAATAGCTGTCAGCTCATTTGGAGTCATTTGAGAATCACTAATGTATTACTTATATATAAACATTAAATATGTATTTATATAACAATAAAGCAGTGTTTACAATAAAACCATATAATGTATACATACAATGTATACATAATACCAAAGTTTCTGAAGTGTATCTCAGCTAGAGATAAATTAAATCAGAGCAAGGAATGGAAATATGGTTGAGGGAAAATTAAAAGTTGAAAAGGCATTAAATACTTTCAAGTGTTATGTTAATATGAATATTTTTATTCAACAAGAAAAAATGTTACAGTCACAGTTTCAGTATGCTAAATGATATACAAACAAAACAGATAAATGTGGTTGTCCTGCTTTTAGAAACATTTTTGCTGAGTTTTATGATGGTATAATAATGCAGGGAGAAACAAACTGCTAGAAACTGGACTCAAGTACTCTTTCTAGCACGGAAAGAGAACTGTCCATATTTTTTCCAGCAGTAAACAGCAACATACATCACAGGCATATAATTAGGAAAATGCTTACAAAATACTTAGGGGGAAAATAATTGATTTTATAATGACCTATTGTCTATGTTATTGTATCTGTTGCTTCAGCACAAAGCATACCAGTAACAATAGGTGTTCATGAGTCTTTAAAATTTATACTAAATACAAAATGTAGGTCATTCTGTAAACTTTATCCCCCTGTTTCAAGAAATGAATGATAACACTTGTAGGTATATTCACTCAGACTATAAAAGAGAAAACAAAATCTCCAAAACTAGCTGAGGAAAACTGAAGTATGTTTTATATGCAAGGAAAAGGCCTCTGCCAGGGCTGGAAACTCTCAGGATGGAAGGGAGGGAGCCAGAGTGGTCCTTGCATTAATGGTCACTGCACTGGGAGCCACAGCAATTAACACTGGCACTGCTTCGCCTCCTCCCGCCACTGCCAAATTTCTAGACAGAGGGAATCCCCCTCCCCAACCATATGCCAGATCAGGATAGCATGGAGGGCTGACTTGCAGCAGGACCTGGCATGCTGGGTCCAACCCAGAACGTGGTACCAGAACAAGCACATGATCCCACATTTGGCATGTAGCCCCAGAGCCAGTACATGGCCACAGAGGACCTGGCATGTCAGATGCCACCACAGCCCCAGCACTGGCATGATGGATCAGACCCTGCCGCATGGCCCCAGACCCAGCATGCAGGGTTGGATTTGGTGTGAGGCCCCAGATCTAGTGCACTAGGATGGTCTGTGGGCATCATTTAACACACAAGGCAGGTAGCAGGCTTGGATACAGGTTGATTTCCTAACTGCTGCTACTCTGTTATCAGAAAAGGCAATTGTTTTTTTCTTTAGATGGTCTTTCCAAAATAAGGTGCATGCTATATGCAGAAGCATGCTGTATGTGAAAAAAATACAGTATGCTAGTAACTAACAATACAACAGTGGTTTTTATCCTCAAAATATATTCCACCTTCATAAGGAGTGATCAGGTACAGAACACAAGCTAGAATTCCCTCTAATGAAAGTATCTGAAAACCACTTTAAGATTAAGTTACAAAAAAAATAATTCTTGGACAACATACTCAAAGTAAGTTTATAAATAGATGTGCTTGTTCAATTTCTAAAAAGAGAAAAGAGCTGACTAAAGTTAGCTCATATTTGTAAGAGACAGGCTGTCTACTTTTCCCATATTCAGTGTAATGCAGAGGTTGTAATTATGTTTGTTCATTAAAAAAAAATCCTATTAATGATAAAATAATTAAATAAATAAGTAGGACACACAAAATGTATCACTACTGAAACTGCCAGTGATTCTACAGAACATCATAAAGGTTCTATCTAGGAATGTGCATACCTAGCAGAAGATACCATAAAGCAAACACGGGGGAAAATTGCCTGAGGGGAGGTACAGGTTAGCCACATGGGATCGTATCTGGAATAGTGCTGCTAAAGAAACAGATAAGATAAGAACTGCAAACCAGTACTTGAAAAAGTAAAGAAAACAGACAGTGGAGTCCAATTATTTCCCTGTAGCTTCCTTAAAAGAAAACAGAAGTTCAAAAAAATGTATAAACTCCTTTCTCATGTTGTGTTCGTCACATCAGAAGATTTCTACTATTTTAAGTTACTATTATGAAAAAATGTCTGAAAATGGTAGTGCAGCACTCTGTGTTTATTTCATCTCAGTGAGTTCAATGCCCAGCACGCTCAGTTTAAGATTTTTTTCCTCTCCCTATCTATACTACAAAAACAAACAACAAGCAAGCAAAATCAACCTGGGCTCTGAAGGTGAGGCCAGGTTCTTGTTTGAAGAACATACATCACCAGTAACAGGAGTTCGACTAGTCAGATAGGGAGATCTGAGCAACCCCGTTATCCTCAATATTTCAGGGGTAACTAGTTAGAACAGTAGTCCACAGCTTATGGTCTGCCAGCCAAATCCAAACCTCAGATGAATTCTCTCACTAGGAAGGTAGTAAAACACTGGAACAGGTTTCCCAGAGAAGTTGTGGAATCTCCATTCTTGGAGGTTTTAAGACCTGGCTAGACAAAAACCTTGGGTGAGAGGATACATAGTTAGGGATGATCCTGCTTTGAGCAGGGGGTTGGACTAGATGACCTCCTGAAGTCCTTTCCAACCCTAATTTTCTATGATTGTATATGGGGCTTCAGCAATAGTTGCTCTTCCTGTGCTGTTGCTGAGAGAAGCAGTGGCTGCAGAAAGGTCCTAATGCCTGCCTACTAGGTCATCCTGGCTCAGCAACTTGAAAAGCTTGCTGACAGGTAGGTTATAACTTCATCTGGAAAGCTGGAAAAAAGGGCAATAATTCATTAGAAATGCCACTATTAACATCATTAATATTTTGTATAGGAGCCCATCTTTTTTGTTGTGCTTGTCCAACGGCATTCAGAAATAAAATGACTCCAGCTACAAGTGTGGGTAAAAGTGCTGTCAGACTGGCCAGCACAGACTATATCGTGAGCATAAAGTAAAGCTATGTATTAATTGTCAGCAGCAGATTCAAGAGAAAGTAAATTTAGATTCTCATGTTCAATCAATGCCACACATAATGAAGCTAAACAGCAAATACACACCAGAACCACTCCCTCTGACCTCACTATCCTCATACTCAAGATAAATCTACCATATATCTTTAAAATGAGAACTTAAGAACAAAAATTCAAAAGCTGGCTGAACACTAAGAACCAAGGACTTAATACTGATATTGTTTTTCTGGAACATTACAACCTACCTGACTCCAGAATTCTTCCTACACATGAAAGGGAAGGCTGTGCGAAGCTTCAGGTGCTGATTCAATTTGGAGGAAATTTGGCCCGATTCAGCAGCCAAACCTCTGAATCTGAATTGAATCGGGAGATCAGTAAAAAGGCTCAAATCGATTCGAAGCTCTCCAGAGAAGCTCTCGAATTGATTCGGAGAACTTCAGAGATTCAGGCAGTCCCCACTCGCCACCGCAGAGAGCTGGACATGAACTCCGTGCTGATAAGTAGGAAGGGGGAGGTGGGGGCTGAAGGAGGGGAGAGGGGACCATGGGGGGACACCTGCCTGCTTTCCCAGCCCCCTGAGCGCTCCCTGACCCCCGCCTTCTCTCACAGTCCCACCCATGGCTGCCCCACCCACCCCAGCTCCCAGCTCTTAAAACAAACAAACAAAAAAGCCCCCACTCACTGGCTGCTGCAGCGGCCTCAGGGCTTCTGGGGGCTTGTGGCAGAGCCCCTCATGCAGCATAAGTAGGGCAGCCTGGGGGGAGGGGCGCTGGGAGAGTGGGCGGGGGCCAGGGGGGCTCAAGGCAGAGCCCCTCACACAGCGTGGGGCAGTGAGGATCGCACCCCCCCCCCCGGGCCTGGCAGCAGCCAGTGAGTGGGGGCTTTTTTTTTTTTTTTTTAAAGAGCTGGGAGGCTGGGGTTGGGCGGGGCAGCCATTAACGGGGCTAGAAGAACGGGCATGGGATGGGGCCTGTCCGATTCAGAGATTTGGCGGTGGATGAATCTCTGGTTCAGATTTGGTTGAATCGATTTGGGACAGCGATTCAAATAACCAAATCGAATCACTGGCCCCCAAATTGGCTGAATCTGAATCCTAAGCAAATACTAGCCACTTTGCACAGGCCTAATGAAAGGTGATAATGACCCTACTCTCTTTTGATTGGCATTGCTCTCTCAGTAGTTAGCTTCTTTTCTTTTACTGTTTGTCTGCTACCCTTGGGAACTTCTCTCCCCGCTTTTCCAACTGTTTTTTACTTTGCTGTGCTGCTTTGGACTCCTCAGACCTGAAGAAGAATGTCTTGTATTCAAAAACTTGGCTCTTTCCCAACTATGCAGTTGGTCCAATAAAAGATTTCACCCTAAGACATTGCTGCTTTGTGAACATTCAATATATTCACATATCTCATATCTCTGTCTTATATTTTGCTATCTCAGCATTTCCAAAGGAGTAGAGTTTGACTATAAAAACAGAGAAAAAGGAGATGTCTTTGAGTAAGAAGGTGCTGTTTTATGCAATCCATTTGCAGAGTTAAGAGTAGCACTTTATTGGAACAGAAATTG